CAAGCAGCCACAAAGAGACAGACAGCAGAGGCCCAGAGGGGGATCCAAGCTGCATGGAGGCCCTTCTCCCGAGATCTTCCTCTGAGGATGTGAGGCTTTGTTCCAGAGCAGTGGCAGCTTCTGTCATCAGCTCTGCCAGTGAGCAGAGAGGGGATTTTTTTAGGGTAGCTCGCTCTGTGTTTCTGCATATCACTCAGGGAGATAAACATCACCTGGGGAGAATGGAATAAAAACTCCCGGATCCTCAGGGTTCAGAGGGAACTTGCTCAGTCTTTGCAATCGGCTTGCTCAGCACCCCTTGTTCTGTGTCCTCACTCCCTAGCCTCCGGAGGGGTGAATATGGGGTGGGGAGTATGTCTGGGGCCCTTAACTCTCTGAAGCTGAGCATAGGACAGTGACCAAGCTGCAGCCTGTGTCTTCAGCTTATTTATCCGGGCTGTCATTTTCAAGCTCTGACAGGGAACATGCTTTCCCACCTCCTCCCCTAAGCCATCTTTTTAATCTTTTGGAGGCCCTGAAAGGGCCACCATGGAGTCAGTGCATTTGTCACAAGTGTCCCCAAAACAACAGCAAAAATCCCTGCCAAATAACTGAGATCAGCATGTGACCCAGGAAGCGTTGTTGCTATTTGATTATTATCACGATGACTACTCATAACAGCATTTGCTGAGGACTTAATATGTCCCAAGTGTTGTGCTAAGTGTTGAATACGCAGCATCTCTTACGATCCCCACAAGAGTCTTGTGGGCTGGATGCCACCTGTGGAATCTGAGTGGCCTTCGTGCTAGCTGTGTGGCCTATGAATAAGCTGCTCACTCTCTCTGAGATTTAGTTTCCTCAACTAAATGGAGATGATAACAGAACCTATCACATCGAGTTGTAGGAAATGAGAGAATTTATATCAAGGGCTTAGTGCCTAGGACATAGGAAGTGGTACTCTCCCCATTTTACCTGTGAAGAAACCGAGACCCAGGGAGATTAGGAAGAGCAGTGCACCCCTTCATAATGCTACGTGCACATGGTGTGACTCACACTTGAGTATCCTAGCTTAGGGTTGGGAATAGCGGGGCGGGTAATCTATAGCCACGGATGCACCCAAGTCCATTGGTATCTGGGCTTCGGGATGCATTTTGCCCTTAGCCACGAATAGGGTACGTCTGCAGATCTGAGAAAAGACTTAACACCAGATACTGAAGCAGCTGCTTTTCTCTGTCTCACACAAGCCCATTTCTAGTTCGTCCTTGTTCGTGCATGCAGCACCCTTTTCCCCTCTCTCTCTCAGCTGGTCATCAGAGCACCACCTCTCACATCAGCACAACTGTCAGCAGTGGGTCCTCTCCCTGTTGCTACTGTAGCTGTGTGACCTTCAGCAAATTAACATTTTTGCCTCTCATTCAGTTTCCTCATTTCCCTTCTTGATGTACAACCCTTGCACTTGCCATTACTAGAGGCATTCTATGGAAGGGTAATTATAAACAGAAATGAGATAATATTGATAATCAAGGTGACTGGGGATCACAGATGACAACATTAAGAAGCCGAAGCTGGCTTGGAGCCTGTGACTCAGCAGCTAGGGCACCAACCACATTCACCGAAGCTGGCAGGTTTGAACCCAGCCCGGGGCTGCCAAACAACAATGACAACTACAACCAAATAAATAAATAAGTAAATAACTGGGCGTTGTGGTGGGCACCTGTAGTCCCAGTCCCA